TAAAGAATATAAGATGGTTTAGATGATAATTTTCACTAATCTTATTATCTAATCTTTCATCATTATTTTAAGAGAGGACATCCCAATTTCTCGATTATTCATCATCGAGCAGTCCAGAGCTCGTGAAAGAGATGAGATATAATAAAATATGCGCAAGCACAAACTCATCATATAACGTGTGTAACTGGCGGTCGTGTACGCAGCCATACGATACTCTTTACTTCTCGCTATAGCCCTCGCATCACGGGCATTCGCGTGATTGCCGCACATGCCTCGAGGCACGCGCTGATAAGCCATTAAAAGGTCCGTTTCTCTTTCGAGTTAGCCAGAGTCGAATCGAAAGAAATATATAAATATAATAATGAAATAAAAATATTATCGTACTGTATGATAAATGCCATGCGGCGGTCGTCGCGAGATCTTCCACGTGCGACATTTACGCGAGATGGATGACGATAATATACAACGATCGCGGTGCACTTTGCGAAATTGTAATTGGCAATCAACGACGACGACGACGACGCGTGATGCAGTACACGAGATAAAGATATAAATTGAGTCACGAAGCTCGGAAGCGAATTTCGGAAAATTGTATCTAGCTCTGCGTTTGTATATACCGCACGTGTTCTATCTATGTACCTTCCGACACTTCGCATCGAGTGCACACACTTGTGAGCGACGCTGTTTATCGTAATCTACATTCGAAAGAATTATAAAGGCTGTGCTCATCGAGTCTGATTGCGAAGCTTTAAAAAAAAAAATTGTCATAATCCCAATTAGCATGTAGCCGAATTTGCAAAAACATCTCTGCGTCAGGTTGATTTGTTGTTGTCATTGGGTTTTTCGGAATTTAATTTACGCGCGTGTACTTTCTAAATTTGACGTTTACGTCCGGGCGACGCGTCTAAAAGTCACTGCGTTATATCGCAAGAGGATTCCTTCGATTTTTCCCAAATCTTTTTGTCGCTCCGCAGAGAGTCGAGCGCGTAAAGCTCAAGTTCAAAATAAATCGGTATACGCAGCTTTAAGCCAGCAGCAGCAACACGGAATTTCCGCGTGTGCATCGCTTTCGAAATGTCATGCAGTCTCTCTCTCTCTCGGGGCACTGTCAAATAAATAATCCAGTTTCCGTGCATAGTAAATAGGGAACTGCTCTTACGTTTCGGATATACGCATACACGAGTATATAAGTGAAGGAAAAATAGTCGAAGGCACGAGTTATGCGGTTACTTATACTCTCTTGTATTTATATATACTCACGCGCGCGAGCCTCCGCGAGAGTTGAACGAACCCTCTGTAAGCTGGTATAATGCGCCGCGCGTGTATACATAAAAGCTTCGTCTTATGGAGTACGCGTACACATGCACACACACACACGTTTGTACATGTAAAATAGATGAATGCACAGCAGCAGCAGCAGCATCAACGAAGCCGAGAATATTTCGCCTTAATTAGAGCTATACACACGTTTATACACATACGTATGTGTGCGCTGATCTCGCGCTGTAATTTTTTCCTTCCATACCGCATCAATGTACCGACTTAATGAGTGACGATCGACGTACGTATATACGCGCGTGTAATTACGCTCGCGCGCCGAATTGAAAAACCAAACACGAGCGTAAATTAACGCACGCGAACGCCGAGACGTGCGATAAGAAAACACGACGCGAGCTTTTTCTTTTCAAGGGTTATAAAATACACGCAGGAAGCTTTTTGAAGACGATATCGCGTGGATCTTCCTAAACCTCGCAAGCTCGCACAACAGCAGTGGCACGATCTTATCCCGATTCAAAATCTCCCGGGCTTTTCCCTTTCACAATGATAAATAGATATATATCGGCAGCTCTCGGCATGCTGCTGCGCTGCTGTGGAATCGCGCGCGCGCGCGACGTCCTCGTCGTATATACTATATAGTCTTCGCAGGGGGTAGCGCATGTTACCCTCGAGCTATGTATATACGTATTTTTTCGCGCGTTGCCCCGTGTGTCTGCGCGCATTGATTTTCATCCCCACCTTCTCCCTCTGTGTGAGAGAGAGACTCCATGTATATACAGGGGAGCCCGCCATCGGGCGACGCGCGCGCACACGAGAGAGAGCGAGCTTCTCTCTATATACCCTGTCTCACTCTCGCTCGCACTCGACTTTCTCCGCTGCTGCTGCTGCTGCTTGCACACGAATGTAATAATAATAATGATAATACAAGGGGGTAGAGGATAGGATAGGATAGGAAGCAGCAGCTAGAACACGCGCGGACTGCGATCGCATCGGCTGGTGATCTCTCTCTCGCTCTCTGCTTATCATGTGCTGTGTTGGTAGTGGTGGTGCGCGTCGCGGCTGCTCCTCGTTGTTACGCGTTACGTTACATTAGTAGAGTAAAGGCCCGTATGTAATGGTTAGCGTTATCAAGCCGAAGCCGCTTCCTTTGTAATGATATATATATTTCATCGTGGTAGTGATATATAGTATAGTGCGTCGAGTCGAGCGAGAGAAAAATAATAATAGCGATTGTCGTATAGACCGCTGCGAGGATCGAGTGCCTTGACAAAAAACAGAATAACAATAACAGCTCGCAGGAACCCAAAACGTATGTACGTGTTATATTTATATAATATATGTATGATAGCATTGCGAGCTTGACGTAACTCCCAGATAGATGCAGCAGCAGCATCGCCTGTATAAACACACATACGCGCATACACATTCTCCTTGATCGATGACATTTTCCATTTAATTTTCGAGGCTCGATTAATCTTTACGTCACCGAGACTCGCACGATATTCCCAAGCCTCGTGTGCCCAGTAATAATAACGAACGAACGAACATGTAAAAGCGAACGTCGTCGACGCGTCGTCGTTGACTTTTAATAAACTGACCTTGACAATCAGGCCTGATCCATTGTGCGGAGCAGCAGCAGCAGCAGCAGCGCGATATGCGCAAAAGCACACTAGACGTCGACGCATCGCGTGAGGTAATGCGCTGCTGCTGCTGCTTCTACGTATACTGCGCTTTAAGCAGCGCGTCCCATGTTATAATAAACGTGTGTGCGGTACGACGACGCGTGTGTTGTGTATATAATATATTCTATTTGCGAAAGGGCTAGTCTAAATACGAGTGCGACACAACATCGTCGTCGTCTAGAAAATATAACGACCATCGCGTTTAAATCCAAATATTATTATACTGTACTTGTAGTGCGCGTGTGTGTGTAATCGTGGAAAAAGGTGCATTCGCACGTCGACGCACAGCAGCAACAACGACTCGCGTTGACGTGAGTCCCTGTAAGCGTTTTTATATCGCATGCATATGTACGTTTTGGTCTTTACCCAAGTTTTCGTCGTCGTCGTCATCGTCACTCTAACGTTTTAGCTTTTTTTAGTTACTTTTTCATTTTTGATCCCGCAAAAAGCTGCGGAGCACTTATGCGCGCAGCAGCTCGAGCTTGTTTTCACCCCCCTCGACGACGACGACTGTTGCAGCAGCAGCAGCAGCAGCAACGCGTCTCTCATTCGCGCGTTTAGCGCTCTCTCTATTCATCTAGTCCGTGCCTTAAGCACGTATACACGAGCGAGTTTTGCAACGCTACGATGCTCGTACATCATCATACGCGTGCGTTAATGTACATTTCGTAGTAGAAAGAAAAAAAAAGAGTAGAGTAAAGGGGGATTGAAAACGCGAGCGTTTTTTTGTCCGCGGACGCGCGGATGTATAAAGCTCGTTTTCGTCGCTTTATGTCTCCGTGAAATCTCCGAAACAAGCAGCAGCAAGCGAGATTAATCGAGTTCCTCTAACGAATATTCAATTTCCACGTTGCGATTAATTATCGATCCCATCCTAGCGTGTGTCTTATCGCGTATAAATAGCCCCGGACGCGCGCCGTTAGTCCTTTCTGTTTGTACAGTGTATGTAAAGGACCTTCGATGCTTCCGATCTCGCTGTACAACTAGGAGCTTTGCCTGTATACGATATATAGCCAAGCATATCGCGCCTTTCCCCGGCGACTCTCCGCTTAGATATATCTATATGTATAGTATGTATCGAGGAGCATTGTTGTGCACGCTCGCGAGCTTGCGGCGAGCTTTATAACGATGATGCATCGATGCCGCTCTGCAAAGGCGCGAATTAAAATCGAAGGTGATCGTCGATCGAGTCTTGGGAATTAAATTATTTTTGTGTACTCGATTTTGAGAGGATCTTAAGTTTCGATAACTAGCGATTACACTCATGAAACGAGGATTATTATTCAATCTTCTCTCACTCTATTCTACGCTCGAACGAATTCTGATATATTGTATATCGACTTATCGCTTTCTTATCGCACATATATATATCTTTTGTGCCAATGCATCGTTGTACGTCGTTGTGCAACGGAGAAAAATTTCGTAACGTACCCGATATCGCAATGTCCAATTTTTCTTTTTCTCGTGTAAAAGTCATCCAGTATTGCATCGAACGATATCAATGTACAAACATACGTGTACCTATATCGCGGAATCGTTTTCATTTTTCCATTCTAGCAGTAAATGTATATATTGCAATTATAACTCGACGGACTGTGCTGCGTCGCGTTCGATTGCTTCCCGTGTGTCCATACTACTCTATATAGGAAAGTTCGCAAGTACACAGAGGCACGAGTTTATTATATACATCGTATAGTATACAGGCTCGTTTGTCCGTGTCTCCTTTTTATTTTAAAGCCCAGCCGCGTATGACGAGGAAACAGAGAGGAACGAGAGAGAGGACAAAAAGCCCGCGCCAGACGATTGAATTTTTCATCAGGGCTTCGCTCTTTCTTCTCTCTTGTATTACACCGCCTATGGCACTCTATATATACCACTATATTACGGTGTGTGTGTACGGCGATAGAGGGAAAAGCGCGGTGGGAGTGCCATTAAAGACAATTTTATCACAGCGTCGGCATCGGCGTTAAATTTCGTCATGCATCGATCGATCGTTAATTAATTTATTATATATAAACGTCTCTTTTTTTTCTGTCACAGATGACGCAGTATCGCTGAAAAACACACGTATACACGGGAGAGAGGACATCGTCGTCGTCGTTGTCACACGCCGATATATAAGAATCAATCGTCAACACAACACGATCGTAAACAGTATCAAAGTGTGCCGCGCGTACAACGTCGATATATAGTATACCAATTACATATAGTCCACGAGCACGAAAATGGGTAAGCTTCTGAGTCTTCTTGCTCGCGACGAGACGACCTGCTGCACGCCGGCCAAGTACGACGTCTTCTTGGACTTTGAGAGTGAGTTTGATTCTCTTCTGTTTTTTTTTTGTCCGCCTCTATTCTTCAGCACGATCGAAACTCGATTAATCTCTATTTCTCCTTGTTACATATATAGATGCCCAACCATCGGACATCGAGCGCGACACCTTCGAGGCGGTCCAGCGCGTCCTCAAGGACTCCGAGTCCATACTCCAGGAGATACAGTGCTACAAGGGCGCCGGCAAGGAGATACGCGAGGCGATCTCCGCCCCGACCGAAGAGTGCCAACGCCGAGCCTATCTCACCGTGGCGCCGCTCGTCGCCAAGCTCAAACGCTTCTACGAGTTCTCGCTCGAGCTCGAGCGCGTCGTGCCCAAGATACTCGGCCAGCTCTGCTCGGGCAATCTGTCGCCCACCCAGCACTTGGAGACCCAGCAGGCGCTGGTCAAACAGCTGGCCGAGATCCTCGAGTTCGTGCTGAAATTCGACGAGTTCAAGATGAAGACGCCGGCGATACAGAACGATTTTAGCTACTACAGGCGCACCCTGAACCGGGCCTCGCTCATCAGCAGCAATGGCACGAGCAAGGACAACAACGCCGCGTCCGACGAGAAGGATCTCGTGGTGGGCAACGAGCTCGCCAACAGGATGTCGCTGTTCTACGCGCACGCCACGCCGATGCTGCGCGTCTTGAGCAACGCCACCATATCGTTTCTCATGGACGTGAGTTCAGCTCGATTATTATTTTTATTTCGGTTGGATGGTGAATAATATAATTTTGACGTTATCTTTTTTTTCTTTGCGTACAGAATCAAGAGCTTCCACGAGAAAATATCACAGAGACGTTGGGCACGATGGCCAAAGTATGCCTGAGGATGCTCGAAAATCCGTAAGCCAATAAACACAATCCTCGTAAACTAGTTCACCAATGCTATATAGGCTCACTCTTACACGTATATGTATATGTACTTTCGCAGAAATCTTCTGGCGCAGTTCCAGCGCGAGGAGACTCAGCTCTTCGTGCTGAGGGTAATGGTCGGTCTGGTCATACTGTACGATCACGTGCATCCCCAGGGTGCCTTCGTCAAGGGCTCCAACGTCGACGTCAAGGGCTGCGTCAAGCTACTGAAGGATCAGCCGCCGTGCAAGAGCGAGGGTCTGCTCAATGCGCTGCGCTACACGACCAAGCACCTGAACGAGGAGAACACGCCCAAGAACATCAAGAATCTGCTCGCCGCATGATTGCCGAAAGCCCGAGCGGGCTGCTGCATACGCAGCTAAGAGCAGTGATGAGGTCCCTCTCTCGTTTTTTGTGTCTCGCGCGGCGGGTGGAGAATGACGAAAAAAAATCCGTGTATTTTTCTGGGTGTGCGTGCATGTGTGTGTAAAGAATAATAATCGTGTGTGCCAGTGAAAGATCGCGCGAGACCGATGGAGGGACGTTTCGATGTTTTTTTTTCTGTATAAGTGGAGAGATGCTGAAGTAACCATGACAAAACCTAAGTCTTAATTATTGCGTTATATATAAAAATTGTAACGATTACACCCCCTCTCTTTTTCAACGTAGTCAATTTTTAAAAATTAATGATATAATGCACGCTATTATGCATGAACCCCCTCAACCAAGACTTTGCACACGAGTTTATATGTAATATGCGTTGTGTAAAATACCGATTGTACCAATTATAAATTATTCGATATGTCTTTTATCGTTAAAAAAAGAAGAAAAAAAATATGGTATTCTCACGATACGCGAGTAAGTTGCGTGACTCTTGTATTCAATTTTTATATCGTACATTGTAAAATGTTAACTTTAACGATCTTTTTGCAAGTTTCGATGTTAGTGAGCATACGTTTTAAGCGTTTTTTATTGAAAAAAAGATAATGATGAACTTTTCTAAGGACAAGACACACCGTTACGTGCGCATTCCCCTTTTTTAATTTTTTGATTGAAAACCTCAGTGCCGAAAAATTTTTAAAGGTCTACTAATTGGAGCTTTTTCTAAAAAAAAAAAACACTTCGTCGTCTTTAAAAGCACAAATTTGTAATTCAAAATTGTACCGAGTGATTTTTATCCAACTTCGTCGCTTCGACGATTTTTTTAAACCCTTTCAACTGCCTATATATAAAAATATCATAGACTGAAAGTCATAATCAGCATTGTAATTAATTATCATTTGGTCTTCGAGTTTTAAAGCATGTACAGTAGTGATATTTAAGTATAACGTAGATGCGACTCTTAGAGCCGTTTTACATAATCTACCTGTTTTATCATAATACACGTAGTCATATCGAGGAATCGCCGAGTATTACAGTATGAAGTGAATAAAATATTTCTATTATTATTCATCAACGACATCTTGATGTTACTTTTTTTTAATTGTATCTCGAGGTGTCTCGAGAAAAATTGTAATATTTTAAAAGAGTGCAAGGTTTTTAGATACACATTGTTTTTTGTTACTTAGCTCAGTAAGTGATCATATTTAAAATATGTAGTTTTGATAATTATTAACAGTATAGAAAAGAAAATATAACTTCATAAAGTAACACGTCAAATTACATCTTTTGATTTCGTCTAATTAATAGCGTTTAAGTGTAATATTGTGACGTAAAACGACAAAAAATTATAATAATACAACGTACACGATTGCGAGAAAAAAAAATAATGCAGAAAACCAAAGAGCTGCAGTGGGAGAAATTATTTCACAATATATAAATATAATCCTGTACATTTTGTAGAATTCAAAAACAAATTTATCTATAAATTATATTACTGTATCGTGTAATCTAGCTTTAAGGATGTTTTAACGATGATGTATAACTGCATTGTTGCTATACGAATTTGAACAAAAAAATTTTTTTAAACCTTCATACTCGGGTAAAGCACCAGAAATACTCGTATGTTTACATTTTTTAACGTTTGAATAAAATTTTTGTAAGCTTATGAAAGTCGAAGAACGAGAACGTTTTTTATTTCATTTCTCAAATATTAGTTGTTAAAAAAACATAACTTTTCAATCGCAACTTGGTGAATTGTCAGTTAACTGGTGCGTTTACCCCATGTTGTGATACAAAAAAAAAATGAGAAAGATACTGTACAGTGTGAAAAAAGGCATATTTTGAAATCACGAAGGTCTAAGAAGAGATTACCTATTATTACACTTAAAAGTTGCAAAAAAAAGTTCACAAAAACGAAAGAAAGTCTTTCCTGTATGAATTTCAAATGCTCAAAACGATTTCGTATCTATATTGACGTTGATAACTGTAATGTCCATGACACAAATTCTCGTGTTCAATAAAACTAAAGATACTCAAATAAATAGTTCGCAGTAACCGATACACACAAACAAACAAAAAAAAAAGGAAAAGATATTTATGACTTTTAGACTCGTATAGCGAAATGAGAAATATATTATATAAAATCGTTATAACGCGGGAGGAGGACCACATGAGAATCAGACGCGCAATGAAAAAATATTAAAAGAAGTATATTGTAATTGCAATGGTATGAGAAAAATTATTAATACTGTATTAGAGCAAAGTCTGAGATGCAAAACTCATAACAATAATCATTTAATTATTGATAAAAAAAGAATCGTTGTCTGCGTTTTCTTTTCCATTTCCTTAATCCTGGCCTTAATTAATAATAGTAAACCAATGACAGAAAGTGAGTAAGCCTCGGGTGACTCAAATTCTCGGGTACTCGAGAGATTTTCGCGAGAAATATTCGCGATCGCCGATAAGACAGGCAATTCGCGATGATAATGCTGACGTGGGAGTGCTTGTAATTCGCGCAGATGTCGCTCGAGCTCAGTTTGAAAATGTCAAAATAGTGCAGTCGATGCGGTTGTTGCTCCTCACCGTGACGCACCGTAGCCTTTTTACTTAATTAATCGATCGTTGATTGTAATAAAAGAAGATTCAGGATGAATCCTGATCAACAGTTTTTCCAGTTCGAGGACTTCACGAACTCGGGATCGCAGCAACAGCAGCAGCAGCATCAGGCGTCGGCCGTTCACGTCGATCTCGGCACGCCGAACAATCAACAGCAACTGTTCGGCGATCCCAGTCAAATGAATCAGGAGCAAAAAAATGGTAATGTCACCAATGTTGCACGCTTAACTTTGCTCGTTAACGTTCGATCGATCGTCTCGGAATCGATGCTCGTCGTTGCAGAAACTCGATTCAATGCTCGATGAATTTGAGGTTATAACAGCTGATATAATGTTGCTAAATGAAATGTATTACTTTACGTTACAGAAAATCAGCCAAGAAGTTTCTGGACGATAGAGTATTATCAAAAGTTCTTCAATGTAAATACAAATGACGTTTACGAGAGGTTGAAGAGATCAATGATACCTCACGGAGTAGACAACTACTTTGTATCGCATATCAGACCCAAACCAGACTTATACGGACCATTCTGGGTGTGCATTACGCTGATATTCGCTATAGCTATCAGCGGAAACCTTGCCAGTTATTTTGCTTCGGCGAGGAGTGGAAAATATCATTGGAAATATGAATTTCATATCGTTTCTTATGCAGCCACCTGTATATTTTTGTACGCTTTCTTGTTTCCACTCATACTGTGGGGAGCTTTGAAATGGACAAAAGCTCAAACACCAGCTACAGACGATGAGTTGATAGAAGTAAATAAAAAAATTTTCACTCTATAATTCAGACATAGGCACAGTTTTAATTCTAAAATTTTGATTTCAGACGAATACAGATGTTGGTCTTTTGGAACTGGTATGCTTGTACGGTTACTCTCTAACAATATACATTCCTGTAGCATTTTTATGGACCATTCAAATTGCTCTACTGCAATGGACACTTGTGATACTAGCGACAGTTTTGTCTGGTGGTGTTTTATTAAGATCGCTAGCACCAATGATACCAGGTAAATAGCATATGCTTAAAAAGACTTAATAAATAGATGAGACAAACTTTTACACTGATGAACTTCATTAAAACAGGCAAACAAAAGCCAATTTACGTGGCAATCATCTTATTGATGCACTTGGCCATCGCTGCTGGATTCATGCTGTACTTCTTCCACATGCCATCCACCGCTGTTCCTGCCATTAGCACTACAACAGCAGCGACGACCAGTACAACCGTCGCCAGCATCGTGAGCTCGACGAAAGCGGCGTGAAAAATTGAAGACAAAAAAAGAAGAAAAAACAACGTCAATATTCATAAGGAAACAAGTGATTATATTTTGTAAATATGCATTTTTCCAATATTTTCCAGTAAATTTGTTAACTCTTATGTGATCATTATCTACTTCATACATAATAATAATAATAGTAATCATAATGATGATGAATGAAATTCTATATATATTTATAGTTATGGATTTAAGTGACGTGTACGCGTCTTCACGATTTGTAGATAATTTTATTTCCGTTAAAATACAGATATTTGATATATAAAGGCGAAAGTGAAAGAAAGTATTACAAAACGAAAAAAAAGAGTTTTACGAATTTTGTCAAGACCCTTCTCTCCTCTGGTCCACACGGTCCATTTGACGACTATCACTTTCTCACGCAGATACAGCATCGACATCTCCGTATCGAGGAGGAGAAAAAAATCGTGATAACGAGCTATAAGTAGTAATTTTATCGGCGTTCTTACACCCTAAATCCGAGCTCGAGTATCTACATTCGAATCCGGATACTCGCTCGACAGTTTATGAGTCAAAAATCCAAGAAAAAAAGATCTGCTGCTCGCAGAACCCTTCAACACACGACCCGTATTACATTGTTATAGTTTAAACTCGATAGTGTCAAAAGCACAACTAAAGCTACACTTACATCGTGGAAACTGTTTAAAGCTCGGTTGGCCAGAGCTTTAACACAGAGAGAGAGAGACTATAATCTCAAAGCAAAGCAAAGTCGCTCTGCAATTATATATAATACATGTATAATATAGCTCGCGAGGTGTCATTGCCAGGCTCTCGCGGGTACGGAATATGATCGCGCGTGGCAAGCAAGTAAGTAAGCGGCAACTCGCTTAATTAGAACACGCGGGCGTAATTTTATCTTCCATTCGGTGTACGGTACAGCAGCTGCTTTCGCCCTTTATGCCTCGGTGCGCGAATTCGTTGAAGCTCTCCGACCCCCTCCCCCATTTTGCAGTAGAGAATTTCGTGGATCGGATTTAGTTTATCGCACGGTATCGTGTCCAATCGACGGTTCTCTCTCTCTCTCGGTTTTGTGTCGACTTTGTTTTTGTTTCTTTCAACGGTCTTCTAAACTGCAACAGAGCAAGTTGGAGCCTCGCGTTGATTCGGGTGGGCCATGTCAGGCATATAGCGGGGGGTACGATTAAACGAATATAGACGAAAGCTCGCTCGTTGTGTGTATATACCTATCGTATATAGCCCGGCTTCGGCTCTCGAACTCTCGGTCGATGACGCCGAGCGGCGTTGAGCTTTTTGTGTGTGCATTCGACGACGAGAGAACTTTAAACTCTCTCCCGCTGCTGCTGCTGTTGCTGCTGTTGCTACGGGTCGCGCAGAAGTTTATACGCGATTATACGTACAGGTGCAAGAGAAACAAAGCGACGACAAAAAAAAGGGACGAAGCTCGCAGAAAAAAGTACAAAAATCGACATCGGCCTTTGCGTATACACATTGTATCCTCTTTGGCTCGGCGTTCGCGTCCGTATATACTACGCGGGGAGGAATATATAAGCTCGAGTCGTCGTCTCTCTTCGCGGGCACGTGCATGCTTATAATATTATTGTCGCAGCCTCCTCCTCGACTGAGCCACTACGAGACGACTCGAGTTTCTGCGACTTGCGAAATAGCGGTATTAAAAGTTAGCCTCGCAATACGCAAAAGCTCGTACACGCGCACACACACCTCGGGATTTTATTGTACCCACTACCATACCTACGCTCGAGCGCGCGCGCGAGATATTACGACGCATCCGAACGAGAAAAAAAAAAATAAAAAAAGAAGTCGAAGAAGAATCGAAAAAAAGAAGGGAAGAAACTTTCGAATCTCGCGCGCGCGCGCAAAGTTTTTCTTTTGCCGCGCCAACGTGTATAACTTGGGCAAATAGTTGGAGCGAGAGAGAGAGAGAGAAAACGCGAATGTACAGAGTCGCGCGCCGCAACTATATAACGCGTTATATACATAAAAAAGCTCTACAAGAGCCACGGCGAGCAGCGCAGCGCACAACGCGACAATTTCGACCGTATACATAATAAGCTCGTATTCGCCTTCCTCCTCTCTCTGTGCTGTATATGAGCCAGGCATATAATAATGGGCGAACGCACGCAACGTTTCTGTGCAAAAGGCTCCGCGTGCGGAGGAGAGAGAAGCTAGTTCTCTCTCGCGCGCATTGTACACCGAACACCACCACCCGGGCGCACACAATAGCTGCATATATACCCTTTTAATGCATCGGTGAACATTAAATTCTATTTTTTTCGTCGTCGTCGTCGTCGTCGTAGAGCCAACTTTTAATGGAAAACGTTGCTATACGCTCCGGCTGCTTTACCCGGCGGGCCGTTATATATCCATTACTATTATTATTAATTTTTCGTTTATACGTACCCACCAACAAAGCTCGATTATATCTACATTATCCCTCTACCATGCGGTGGTGGTATCTCTCTCTCTCTCTCTCTCTCTCTCTCTCTCATCGTCCGATTAAATCAAATGAAACTTTTTAAATACGATCGCAAGCTCGCGCGCGCGCTTGGCTAAACTTTTTCTCTCTCTTTCTCTCTCTCTCTCATAGCCCTAAGCCCAAGCTTGCATTATTGTATACCTTAATGTTGTGCGCGTATACTACGTTTATTATTATGCACGTGTGCGCACACCAAGAGCGAACGAGCGGCTCATTGGCATAATACGTAAAGCACGCCAGCCTCTGTACCGTATCCATGTATGTGTGTTAAGGTACAGCAGAAACAGCGGTACAGCCTAAAGCGTGTGCGATGCATATAATGAAAAGAGAGAAAGAGAGAGAGAGAGGTGCTATACAGGTATAGGTACCCCTCGTGGTAGTAGTACTGCGAGCGAGACTCGGCGTCGAACAGCAGCAGCGACGACGACGACCTGCGCCGCTTTTCGAGCCGCCGGTACTATACTGCTGCTATACCATACATATATACATGTATATATGCGGCAGCGCGGCAGAGCTGCAGAGAGTCGGAGCCGAGAGCAGTGTCGGCGTTCGCCAGTCGCTTTAGTCGGTCGGTCGCGCTTCGCATCTTCGCATCATCGCGCTGTGGCACATAGCAGCGGCTATATATACGGATACAGAGAGATTATCGTCGGGAGTTATCTGTCTCCTGCTTGCTTGCTTGCTTTATTTTTTGCATTGTTTTTTGAACGTCCGAAGAAAGGACGAGTTGCTCTTGGTGCTGAGCTTGCGATTATTTAAATTTTGTGATGAAGCGCGTTTGTTAAACGAGAAAAAAACTCAACCCCCCCCCCCCCCCNACCCCCCCCCCCCCCACGTAAAAAAGTGTACCATGCCTCGTTGATGGTTCATTTCGATTGACGAGTACTTTATTGTTTTTGTTTCCTGTTTTTTTTTCTGTTACCTCCGAATCAATACGAGTGTAACACCTCTCCACACGCATACATAAATCCATCGAACATACGTAATTCATCGCTGTAACGAAAATGCCACGATCGTCGATCTTCCTCCAACCAACACCGCCGCCGTTGATCGGCCGGTACCTGCTGCTGTTGTGCTTGATAACGTTGGTCATCAACCCTGGCCGGGTCTCGGCGACCGGCAGCTGCGCCGAGTCCAAGCTCTGCTGTCCGGGCCGCGACTCGGCCTGCGTCGTCCAGAAAACGTCGCCCTCCAACGCCATCGTCCAGCAGCATAATCAACAATCGTATCATCAGCAGCAACAGCTGCTCGGCGACAAGCCCTGCTACTGCGATCACGCCTGCCTCAAGCTCGGCGACTGCTGCGGCGACTTCAAGGAGGCTTGCGGTGGTGAGTTTATCATAATAATAATAATAATAATATATAATTAATATATGCGCTTGCTCGTGAGCTTTCGATCGTCAAACATTTTTACGCGCGAAAGATAATTACATAGGGTGCAGGCTTAGTTCTTGAGTCTAGCTTTGATTGTTATTCGCAGTCCTGAATGTATATACCCGGCAAACTTGTCGCGCGGCTTTAATTACGGCAAATACAAAGTCGAGCTTCGTTACATCGACGCGTGTTAAAGCGATCAATCTCGCTACACATACCTGTGTGTGTGTGTGTGTGGACTTTGAGTTTTCCTCCTATATATTACCCCCTGTCATCGCTCTATATAAATCTCTGGATATATACCCACACACGTTCATCATCATCCTACATACGCATTCACACGCATGCACACACACGTGTGTGTGCTGCCTTTATAATACAGAGAATATAATATATATATAACGCGCGGAGCGGTTATCAAAGAACGTCTCTCTCGCATTCGCGATGTGCAGCAGCAGCACGACGACGACGAGCCGTGTTATATATACGCGTGTGTGTACATCACGCTCCAAATACGTTTCTGTGTGATGGTGTTATATAGCTCGATACAGGAAGCTATATATATTATTAAGGCTGTGTGTATGTAGCACCGCGAAGCTGAGCACACAACTGCCATCACCGACGATGACTACGAGCGCCGTCGTGAGGGAAGTTTAGCAGTAGTAAAGCTCGACGTGCAGTTTGTCGTTTATAAATCCCCGCGTCCCGTCACTGCGCGCGCTGACCATAATGCCACTCACACGCGTACACAGAGAAAGCTCGATCCTGTCGCTGTGAGCTGTAAGCACACTACCGAGTGACCTATTTTGGGGCTAAATAATAATGCCCCTCGCGCGCGCGATTATTATTTTCGATCCTTGGCAGATGCTGCTGCTGAATTGCCACATTGTATATAATAATGATATCGACTAATTAAGGGTCGAGAGTGACGAGATTATAATATCGGTAGGAAAAAAAAACGAGAGACAGTATCTCTCACGTATACGTACACGTAGAGGGTGTTTCAATTTCACAATAGGATCGACACCGGACCGGACCGTTTGTCGTGACATCGTGACGACGACGACGATTCTCCAGTTCTCTCTGTGGCAGTATTGCAGCTATGGGCTATATATTTTATATATAGAGAGGTAGAAGCTTTCGTTTCTCTCTCTCTCTCTCTTTTTCATTCAACTTATAATGAGCTTTCTATCTCTAGCGGCAGCGGAAATTCGCGAGTTTGCACTGCGCGCTTGCAAGCTCGCTCAGAGCTTTCAGTCATTATTCCCTCTCTCTCTCTCTCTCTCTCTCTCTACCGCGCGCATATGCTTTATCGCATGATCCAGAGAGCGGCTCCCGCAACACATTTATGAATATGTATATGTGTATAAAATAATTCGCGTTTTCAGCGAACCGAAATCACGAATTCGGATCCCCGAGCGTTGGAAAATACGTTATATATGTATTATATACATATGGTATTGTATGTATGCATGTTTCTCGCGCGAGAGTCAATTAGCTTATACACGTGTATACGAGTTGGTCGAGAAAGAAAATTAAATGTTTTACGTGTGTGCGCGAGATGTATATTATTAGATGCTAAGCCGCGCGAACGTCGATGTACACTTGTCTCGTTTAATATGTATCGGATAATATATTATGTGTATACGCGTACGTTGATATGTTTTACAATCGGAGATTATCACGCTCGGGCTCGTGTGAGCTTTTATCGATAGCGCCTTTACTAGGCTTCCATCATGCGCCGTATATTATACGTATAGGCCGCGTGATATTTTCCCCGTACTTAACCGTTAATATATTACAGTTAGGGGCTGAGAAAAAAAACTAAAATTGTGATTTTATCGTGAATATATAATGGTACGTATCAGCTGCGAACGTTACTGCTATTATTATTATTGTTATGATTATTTTATTTTTTAGCCGGGCTTCTCGGGCATACCACGCACCGGTGCGATGCAGTTCCGCGTGCGCATACGAATCTGTTTCGGAAGATATTGAACTCTTTCCAACGCCCACGTTTTTTTACCTATATTTTTTTTGTTGTCGCTACCGTTGCGCCGTTTTTGCGTATATATGTACGGCAGGTACACGCCTGCGTGTCATACACAGTATCTGTATGTGCGCGCACACGTGTCAGACGCGTATACGGACGAAAAAAAAAATTGAATGCCGTACAGCTAGCTAGCTAGCTGGCAGTGCAGCTAGGTGGTGTACATCGAGCTTTTGTACACGAGAAAAAAAAAGGAAGGAAAAAACTTTTTTCTACGATATAAATGGGAAAAGGCGCACACAGTGCGCCCGGCCGTGGGACATAATTGAAGTTTGGAATATTGTATGTATATATTGCCTGAGCTCTCTCTCTCTCGGACGCGCGGCGTGGTGCTGCTACGCCCGCCCCGGCTTCAATTAAAACTTTTTCATAGGCAGCGTATTAACGGTTTTAATAACAATGTAATGATCCTCGTTTGGACCTGCGTGTCTATATAGCGTAAGATTGTCGACGGAGAACTCGATTATATTTTCGTACGTAATACAATATACAGCGGCTGTATATAGATAATAAATTGCCTCGTATTTCTCGAGGTTCGTGCATCTGCAAATATAGAACTCGGCTCGATTCCCGAAATGGCATTGCTGTATACGGACCCGAGTCCAAGAATCCACTCGGAACCGAAGGAGCTTGCGCAAGACGAATCGATCCGGTTCGGATGTATGTATAATATAGCTCAGAATGCGATCAAAGGACGTCTCACAAATAAAACGTAGATGGATGCTCTGCCTAATGCCCTTCGTTGTGTTATCGGGGGGATAAAACAATTACACTCGCGAAAACTGTTAAAAATCCGCACATCGGCTCAAAGTATTATATCGACGACCTGGGGGAGGGCAATGTGCCGTGCCGCGCGAGGTCCGCTCGGTTTAATCGATATCCTCGCGCAATTTGCTGGACAAATGGCCCGTCGTCACCGAGACTATTAACGCGCGGCGCAGAGTTCGAAAAGCTTGAAAAGCTCCGTGCGTTGAGTGCACGTATCGGTTAAAGAGGGCAGTGGACGATGAGAAAAAATAATTTATACGAATAATTTTTCTTGTATCGTTTGAAGAGTGTATGATTTGAGTATTGACGAGGGCTAGGGCGATAAAAAGATAAGAAAAAAATGTAAGAAAATTAATGAATTGAATTTTTTGTGACGGTCATTTTTCAATAAAGAGACTTTCGAGAGCTTTATTGAAGAGGTGTTGACAAAACAAAATTTCTACATACTAACAATATGTATGTATAAAAGCTCTAGATTTTATATTTACAATTTTTTCGTATGATTGAACATTTTTCTCGATCGATTGACGAAAATGAAAATTAACCAACGCGAGCTTTTTGAAAAAATACAACAAAGTTTCTTAAAAAATTCACGACGATCCTCTTCGATCTCCCAATTGAAATTTTCTCGTAAGCTCTCTAATTTTTTCAGTCTCAAGCGTTCGCCTTCACCATGATGCATATTTTTTTCGCGAAAATCACTCACTGTCGTCGATGCAAGCGGATAACGTTTTGTACTGCCTGTATAATTCTATCATTACAGGATCTACTCAGAGTCCAATATTTTTGTTTACATTCTCGAGACTCGCAAGGCACAATTAGCGACCGCATACGAGACGGAACTATACAATCTTCAAAAATGTTTTATTTCATAAAAAAGATTCTCAAAACGAGACACGTATAAAAGTATACATCATACGCATTTCTGCACTGCGACGGATATGGCCCTTTGAAGCTGCGAGTATATGGTTCGAGAGACGGCCCATAGTTGGAGTCACGTCCGAAGCGTCGATAAGAGCCGAGCAAAAAGGTTTTTCCTTTTCCTCTGCAACACAGTCGCACCCCCTATACATAATAATTCAACGCGACATTTCAATGTTTCGCTTACTTTTGCCGACAGAATAATAAAAGTGAGTTTTCTTGCATAGCAAAAAAAAAGCCGGCAGAGAAATCGAACGCGGCATATTATTTTCTTATTCAGATCCAGTAGCAGCAGAAAGAGAGAGAAATATATATATAGTATACGCAAAACTTTTGCCTCGCGGCGCCTTGATCGATGCGAAAGTGAAATCTTGGGAAAAGGTGTAAAAGTAAGTTTTCCCAACGACGCGAGACCGATTGTAATATCCGCGCGCAACGGGGGAAGATTGAATCGGCGCGCGTGCGATTTATCGAAAAAAGAAAAAGGAAAAAAGAAAAGTGACTCGGTTGTTCGACAGGTCGTAACGCGTAATGGTTACTCGAGTTTGTGCGATATCGTGGAGCGCGACACGCGAGACGGCCAGGCAAGTAGAGTCATAAGTAAAGTTTTTTTACATATCACTATTACCTTTGCATGGTCGAGAGTATCATTTCACTTATCACTGTATATAATTGAATAATAACTACTGTAAATTCTAACAATTATACTTTGCATTGTGGTTATCCTTTGAGAAATAAAAATGTTAGTTTGATTTCAATAATATAATAGCTACATGATTGATTATTCAATTAATGTTAACAATCATATAATTAATTATTAAATTATTTTATGACGAACTTAATATTAATATTTTGAGGGAAAAAAATTTTAGTTTGCTTTAATACTTGTCGGAATGTATTTGATTTCATTACTATCATAGCTAAGTAATTGATCATTGACGATTTGACATTAGAAATATCATAAATGAGAGAGAGAGAGAGAGAGAGAGAGAGAAATCTAAAGGTAGATTATAATTATAAGGATCTGACTGTCATACTTGCCCCTATTTAATCTTTTGAAAAAAGTATTACCACAGTTTAGAATTATTCTATTTTCAATATTTTAGTGAGCTAGCAGTTTGAAATATAAAATTGTAAGATTGCATAAATACTTAAAGGAATTTATTTCATTTCATTAATATCATAGCTGAGTAACTGATAATTGATATTTTGAAAT